AAAAACAATCTCGAGGTAAAACATCAGCTTAGAGTAATGAGGTGACACAAAGCAGCTTTATTCCTTTTGGACGACAGCACAGAGAGGCCTCACTTTCCACTACAGTATTCTCTAATGGAAAACTAGGAACATATTTTCCTGGGGTTTTTTTCTTTATATTTTTCTTTTTTAAAATGTTAATGCAAAAAGTTTGCTCARCGAAGCAGAAGAACATATCTCACCTAAAGCAAAAATGAGCCAGACGTACTTGGCACAGGAAGCAAAAAACATTAATAAACAGGTGGGATCAGATCAACAGCTTTCACTAATGATTCCCCCAAAACCTGACCTACTTCTCGTAGCCCAAGAATGTGTCTTTATTTTTGTCTGTGACCTGCTTTAAAAAAGTACATCTTCTTTTTAAAAATTCCATGTGCTCGACTGCCAAAAAATAGAATTGGCTGGATGCTGGTGGCAGAATTCCAGTGTAAATGCCCATCTCTCCCTACAAGAATGCACCTTGGTGTGGAGTGGGAATGACAGATCTCCTGCTGCACACATTCCTGGATTCCTTTTAGTCTCAGCCACTTGGAAAAGAAAGGAGTAGTAATATTTCAGGAGACGTGGAGGATAGCAAGATTGTTTTTCTTGCATAGCAGATAACCCTCAGAGCACTATAAAGAGCACAAACTGGCAGGATTGAACCAGAATCAGATAATACTGACTTCAAAACKACACAGATGGACTAAAATGGCCAAGGAAAAGGCAGAGGTGCTGATCCAAGTGAAAATGTCAAAATTTGGGGTGTTTCAGAATTCAGGGTTCCTTTTGGCATCAGTAAAGAAGTTGAACTGTGCCAAAAAAAAGCCTGGAGCCAGATCTGCAAACTGTGGAGATCCTGCAGGCTTATCTCAAAGGGATCCTAATCAGAAGCAGCTTCTGCAGCTCAGAGTGCAACAAAAAAGCTGCTACTATTTTATCGAAAGTTTATGGTTATTATGTCACCCCTAATTACAACCCCCAGAAGCTGAGCGTGAATCATTCTCAACCTTAAATCCCAAACATGTGGACTGAATTTTCCTTCCTCTCTCTGCTTTCTAGAAAGGATGCTCTGTCGCACTGAGCAGGAGAGGAAAACAAACCCCAAAGCCCAAAGAAATCTCACTTCCCTCTCCCATGAAAGGTGACTGCTCTGCAGTTCAGGGCTCAGGGTTCAAACTGCTCCAGGCACAGGAACTCACTCCAAGACCTAAGGGAGGTGGGTACACCCAGCAAATAAATAATAATTTAAGTACTTCAAACTTGTCAATGAACAGTCCTACTCAGGAAATCTTTCCCACTGATGTCCCAGCTATGGATCTTGTCCACACAGAGAAGGCTCTGGGTACCAGATACAGAAGCCTGAGGTTATTACAGACACGTGGACATTTATGGGGTCAATATGGACATTTATGCCACCAGGTGTTTGCAYAGATAAGCTAGAGCTGGAAGAAGAGAAGTCGTCTTCACAGACTTTGGGGAGAGGGAGAGGGGCAATGGGGAACACAGAACAAATAATGCCCTGTGAAAATAAAGCAAATATTAAATTAAAGGCAGAAAGCAATAAATACCCCCAACTGATGTCTGTAATAAATTCAGTGAACTGCTCAGGCTGAAAGGGGACCTCAGGAGTGGTTATCAAGTATTACAGTATTTACAGTATTTCAAATACTTCCTTTCCCATTTCAAGAGCCATAAAAAAAGATCTCAGACTTCTATGGATAGCTGACTTCATTTCTGTAATAAACATAATTATTCACAGTCTCCTGAGCTAGACTAAGCTAAGGAGAACGAGACCAGTCCCAAATCCCTCCTCATAGGGACTGACCTGCCAACCTCACTCAAGAATCAACATCTTCCTTCTGAGCCAACAGAGAGCAGAAAGCTTTCTGCAATAGAGGATGAGAGAAAAGGAAAGAAACCATCTGATAATGTCCTGTCTGATAACACAGAGCTGCTGAAGGYTTTTCTCCAGGCTTTTCTCTCTGCTGTTACTCAGCAGTCACCGAGGGCTGTGTTCTAGATTAACTCACTGGAGCATTTGGGGACAAGGAGCATGAGCAACCCCCGGACACACAGATGGAAAACAGTGGTGGGAAAGTGGGGGAGAACAGCAGCAAGAAATGGGCAAGCCTTGATGCAAAACAGCAGATTCGGGTTCAAAAAATCTACCTAGAACTGCTCAGGAAAGGTGGTGGGTGGCTGAGCATGATTCACCTACCAAGGACTGATCATCCATGAAGAACAGACAGTCGATTTGCATTTCAGTCTCTGTCCCTTCCTCTCCCTCACCTGAATTGAACCCTGAATATCAGACAGGAAAGCTCTGGGGCTTGCAGGGACAGGCAGCAGGAGCTGCTTTCCCCAGTGCCATGGGGAACAGGAGCTCAGTCACWGTGAGGAAGAGCCCAACCCATACCTCAGGTCATTGTCCCATTTTAACTTTTCCTCCCAACATCTGTTCCCCACATCTGTCATGGCAAAACTCTTCCTCCTAGGAGGAAGCTGGGGGTGGGGATGAATTCCTCATGAATGCTCGATGGGGTCCTGTGAGGGACAGCACAAAACTCTGAGTTACCCAGTCAATCTCCCTGTCTGAGGGATRTTACAGCACTCCCAAGCTCCAGCATTAAACTCCAATTCCCAGGCTGTGGGTTCTTTGGATCCAATGTTTCACACTCATCTTTTATTGCAGAAAATCAAGCTGAAAGATCTGGACCACATCGAGGTTTGTGTCTCAGTCCTCTCTTTTTTTTTTTTTTTTTTTCAGAGTTTTGAATCATAAACAAAACTCCATAGATACAACCAGGAGTAAATGCCCCTAAAGATTAAGCACTTTCCCAGCAGCTGTTTGGTGCTAACAGGGTTTCAGTGTCAAGTCCTGCTGAACTAAAGCTTTTTATTCTGTGCTTCTGGTAGCCTGTGTCTATGTTCCTTTCTGCACGTACAGTACAAATATAATTTTCAGCTCTTTCCAACCATACTTTTGAACACCAAGCCCAGCTTTCAAAAAACGGAAAAAAGTCAGTTCAAGGTAAGCTTGAAGTTTCCATCAATAGTTTACATGTTTGCATGAACAGCAGCTGTGTATGCAAATGGTCTGAAATAGCTAAAATCTCTAAACTAATTAAGATTTTCCCATTGCAAATACACATTTTAGGTTTGTTCTGCATTCTTTCCTCCAAAGAGAGGAAAAGGTCCAGCTCAAGCCTTAGCTTCTGGCCACAGAAAGTATTTACTGTTTCAACAGCCTTTCCATTCCAAGGGAATGACATCAGCACCAGCACTTTGCAAACTTTTGAGTCTGATTCTCAAGCAGAGCTCCACGCTCACAGATATGCCAGTCATAACACGACATGCTTTCTGAGAATTTGTTCCAGATTTATCGGGGCTGTGACCGGCTTTAATGCTGGGAAAGATCTTTCATCAGTCACGTACAGCACAACCTACAGCCCCCGAGAAAATGAACTCTTCAAAACACAGCCCAGCTCCTCTGTGAGCTGCCTGCCGATGTCAAAGCTTCAGACAGCAAGAGGAACACATGCAGGCTTTCAGGGAATTGCAGAAATCTAAGTTAATAAACTCCCTGTACAWGAACAAACCTAAAGCTGCAGATGTCACGCAGCAGCTGAGTCACAGAAAGCAGGAGCACAGGGGATGTGACACAGCCAGAGTCCATCCTCCTACACTGAAACACCATCATCTGTGCCCAAAGCATTGCTCTGAGATGGCTCCTAGCCCATTCTTTAAGAATAAATGAAAATTAAATAAATTAACTCTGCCCCAGGATCATGGTAACCTGCAAACTTCTCAGATGGGTGAACTACCACAGCATCTTACTCCCCTCATTGCTGGGAAGATCATCTCCACTTTCCTGCTGCACCTGAAACTCCTTCCTTGACTCTTGGGGTTTGTAATCTACTATTCCTCCCAGAATTACCACATTATTTAAAAAAACCAGAAGGTTTGAGAACAACTAGCTGCAGTGCAGTACGTGGCTCTTGCCTTGATCAAAGTTTTTCCTTGAAGGCCATTTCAGAGCTCTCCTTCCCTGACCCATCAAGCACTCTCAACCCTATCAGAGCTTGATATGGACTATAATTTAATAAACCTCAATCCTTACTCCATCCTTCAAGTCCTTAATGAAAATATTGAATAAAATTAGACCTGGGACAAATTCCTGCCTAATCCAGTTTGATGCAGCTTTTCAGTCTGTCAGAAAGGCAGCCCAGCCCAGGGCAGGGTCATKGATAAACTGCCAGGCTGCTGCTGGCTGACAGATGTGACACTGGGAAAGGCAAATCCTGCATCACACATGGCACTTTACACAACTTTTCCCAGCACCACTTCCAAACTGGGCAAAAAAGGGAGCCCTTTGGAATAAAAAACTTGTGAAAAAAAMCCCAAATTTGTATTCGAAACAGTCAATCATACCATACTGAACCTGTAAAACACCATGGAMGATCATTAATTATGCCTACAA